ACGCTTGTTTCAACAAGAAAACCACAAAACAAATGTCAAAACCACGGGATAGATGATAAGCACGTAGCCCGCATGCGTTTCGCGATAAAGATTCCGGTTGCATAAGCTGCCGTGGCAAAGGCAGAATACGAAGTGTAGAGTGACGTCACTCGCCCCGCTAACAATGCGAAGCACGGAGCGCTCCCCGCATGCGATTCTCGGTAAAGACTGCAGTAGCGTAAGCTGGCGTGGCAACGGGAGCGTTGCCGCGCCAGTCTTTCCTATGTAAAAAGCAGTTTTGGTGCAGTGCATCTACTTTCTTTCGTCAATCATTTGGTATAGACCCTTTTGCTGTTTGCCAATATGAACTTTCGCTTGCGGGACAAGCGACTTCCGGTCGCACCGTCTTTGCAAGCCTGTTGAGCTTGCTTATGTCGCCAGTGATAGAAAGCTTAAGTGCTACACGAGACAACAAAGATGGAGATTTAACGAGGGCCTTCGACAGTATAATATTACGCCTTGGAGGGGGCAAGTTGGTTTACAAGAATACTCGAAACATTTTAACAGATCTCGCACTCCTTCGTTCTTTTACCGTTCACCTGGAGAATTGTTGGTGAAACGTTTCATCTACATTTCAAGCAGCGGCGTTAAGGTTGCTTTTGTTTATTCGTTTTATGAACCGGAAGTTCTCTTGGACGTCAAAGACTGGAGCAGCACCTGGCGGTGTTTGCCATGAAAAGGGTCTAGAGTGCTGTGGGTAATGGTTGCAGGTAGCCACAGCCTCGCTGTCCAACGACCTTCCCAGCGTGGAATAAAGCCTTAACTTTTAGGAGTATGGGAGCCTTTGTTGTAGCAGCTTGCTGCAAGTCTTGTATATATTTTTTATTGCCTGATTATTTATTGTGATTTCCAGCAGCTATCCATTACCACAGTGATCGATGTTTGCGCACTAAGTGTCTTTTTTTTGTCTTCTTTTTATATTTAAGCGTCACATATTAGCCTGCTTCTTATCTCCCTCCCCGTCAAGTGCAGTGAAGCAGAAGTCCAAAAGAGCTTGCTCTTGCTAGTATGCAGCTGCACTTGGTCGCGATTGTTGGTGTTATAATTTATCGCGGGTAAGATGAAATAAAATAGATAAACATGATTACCTATACTTTGGTGATGAAAACGTTTCGGAACCCCTGATAATCATTCAACACGTTTTTGACAATGGGGTGGTGGCGCCATCTGTTGACCAAATTGTATAACTCTCATCGCCCGCTCGCGGCACCGATGAGGTGAACTCCATTGTGCGAATATGCTGCGAAAGACCGACAAATATTGCCCGACGGGTTTTGCGTTGCGCGTGTCATCCACACAGTGACTGCTACGTAAAGCGGGTTTCACATGCAGCGATTTTGGCCCTAAAGCGGCGCGATTTCTGCCGTCGCGGCGCTCGTGCCGCGGAATTGCTGGTGCTGGTCGGAGCGCCGCGACGGCAGAAATCGCGCCGCTCTAGGGCCAAAACCGCTGCATGTGAACTAGGCTTTACGCGCAAAGCGAATGTGCGGTCGGGCGAAGTTCGTCATTTATCGCCGCATGATTTGCTCCGTGGAGTTGAACAATCGAAATCCGAATTGTTTTGATCGGTAAAAGATTTCTCTTTCGAAGCTAGGCAGATTCGCCGGTACCGCAAACGACAGTCCTGAAGTAGAGGTCCCATACCAGCCGCTCAGCCAGCGACTCCCGCGATACGACGCCATGTTGAGAACCGTAAGCACAGAGTGCTTACGGTTCTCTGTGCAACAGTTCTTTTTTTCATTCAACGTGTTTGCAGCTTTTTAGAAGCCACAAAAAATGGGTGTCGTATTTCTTTATATTTTTACTATTGAATGTGGGCCTTCGGTGACGTACGACTTTGATTATATTTGGTGTGTGTGCTAAAACCATAGAAAACGGCACGTGACCACAGAGAAGAGAGTGAGCGGGACTCAAACCAGCCAGTTCTCGATCGGCGGGTTTTGGGTGGAAAGAAAACGAACGTCGAGCCGCAAATTGTGTTCTGGGTAGTTGGGCTCTCGTACGTCATGTACAAATAAAAACCTTGGCGAGAAAACTGATTGGACCATGTTCTCTCAGGTCAAGCCGCGTAAAGCGCGCTTTAAATCAATCCAGGGGATTCCAGGTATCGCGTTTCTCTCGCACGAGCTTGCTGGGCCTCGCGAGGCGTTGCGTATTTGGACACTCACACAACACCGTCGTAAAAAAAAAAAAAAAGAACAAAAAAGTGGTGATGGCGGTTTTTGGTTTATCTTGACGAGGTGTTCGGTACGCGGAAATGTCAGGGAGCGCCTGAGGAGAGTGGGCAGCATGACTGACTGCAGAGAATGCAGAGGTATACGGTGTCGTGTTCGCGTGGCTTAACCATCGCATCTAGCAACGGAGGCGGTCTGCTGCCAGGGGTAGAAGATAAATAAGGATTTCACGACGCCTTTCAGATTAGACATCGCGTGACATAAGAGGAATTCGAACCGCGCGTTGCTCGGGCACGCACAAAGCATTTTCTACGTTCCTGACGTGGCTAACGACGAGAAAGTCGATACGGACATGAAGGGACTGGAGGAAGCGTTCTGAGAAATTTAGTGGTGGGCTTTCTCTCGACTACTGGATGGGTGGGTGGGTGTTCCAGATTTTGTCGTCGCGTCGTCTCTTAACGGTTATTAATCGCCACGATTTATCGGTGCTTGGAGTTACGGTCGCTGACAGGAGTAGGACGGCATAAAGGACCCTCACTGTCTTGCCTCCAGCGCCAGCTTCCTCGCTTCGATAAGGCTTCGGGGTCTCGTGAGTCTGGCGCATGCACGCTTAGCGAAAGAGCGACGAAAAACGGGCGAAAGTGCAACGAAGGCCGGGCAGTCGAAGGAGACACCGTGCTGTTCTCGCCTTGTTTATGACATAGGCGATTGCAAGCAAGGCCACTGGCTGCCGCCATGTCTCTGCTCGTGCGGACCAGCCCGTGCTATTTCAGACTTACCAATGTTTTGTTCACGCGCAAGCTGCACGTGCTTGCTCGCGTGGGGCAGCAGTCTGGGCAGCATGCTTGCAATTGCCTATAGTGTCAAACGCTTAGTAGCTTCGCAGAAGAAGTGCACTGTCTATTTAATGTAATAAATATATATTTATCGCAAAGAGACGAAACGCATGATACCAACATAACAAATGAGGCATTGTGTCTTTCGCAGAAGTTCTTATTTCTTCAGAGCCGTTGTGAGTCTAAAATTGACGCGAGTTTTCCTCAAACACAATATACTAGGGAACCTTGCCATCGTGTAGCAACTGCAACAATACCGCGTGCGCGCGCGCGTGAGTGCGCGCACGCACGCACGCACGCACGCACGCACGCACGCAGGGATCAGCGAACTAGGTTTGTCCACGAAGCGATTTTTTTGTCATCCGCTTTAACGCTGCCGCTCTTGGTGACCTCTGCCCGTAAATAAACAAGGACATATTCAAGCTTGTTAAGAAGAGGGGTGATGTCGGACAGTCAAGTAAAAGCACTGCCATAATATACGAATGCGTCCAAATAAAAAAAAAAAAGAGTAATCTTTTATTATGGCACTGAGGAGAGGAACTCTCTCGGGAGAGTATTTAACGGCGGATGCAATGATTTTCGTACTTCGCGCAAATACCGCTTAAAACGGATTCCTGACGCTAATGACCTGTGAAACACCCCATCGAGTGCGCACACAGTGCTCGGGCCCTATTTATGAGCCGCATTCAAATATCGTCAATTTAGGGGGGGGGGGGGGGGGGGGAAGGTACTTCGATACCCCAGTTAAGTCATCAAGTTTTGCAAAGGAGAGATTTAACGAAAACGCTCGCTTTTGTCATCGATATTACACCACAACAAAGGGGTTTCTTGGCCAGTGGCGTTGCGTACGAGTACCCTTGAGTCCCACTAGTGTCTGTAAGCACGCGTGTAAAGTGAAAATTATTTCAAATGCATATCGTGGCACCCCCCGTGTAAATGTTTGAAGGGACGTAGTTTTTGCTTGTTTACCTTTCCGTTCGTGATGTGTTCCTTTTTTCTTTTTGTTTTGCGGCCTTTTTTACGTGTTGCATTTGTGTCACTGTCTAAACAGCGCCATGCGCATTCGGAATCGATACAAAGTGGACATGCCTCTTTCGGAGTAAATAGAAAAACACAATGAACAAAACCTTACCCTCGATATGCTAGACAGACTGTCATTCAGGCCTGGTACGTCCAGAAACTGCAGTGACAGTAGGTCCTCTTAGCACCTAGTTTGGGCGCGCGGGGATTGATTATGCCTTGATTTATAAAAGCATACGCGTTGGGAAAATGGGAAAGCACGTTACGTGCCTCATTCGGTGATGTATGAAATAGAAGCTTTCTAATTGATGATTCTTCCACGTTTGTGTTCTATAAAGCTGAGTACTAATTTAACTCAAGACGCCTCCCAATATCATTGTTCGAACTAGCAAAGGGTTTAGAGAATGACTTCCGTTGTGCTTTCGGTTTATACCAGAGAGAAATCAACCTTCTTGCAGAGATTTGAATCGCATATTAAAATGGGAATTGTGAAATATCCTCATTAATATTAACACGATTTACAGCAGCGTGACTTCTGTATCGCAAAGCACGAACGTAAATCGGAATTTTCACGTGCCTTCCTGAAATCTGGTAACAATAAAAACGTCCTAAAGTATTTTTTTTCCAGTCCTGCAATTGACCGATACACTTAGTCTGAAACTCCAAATACCTCATCGCGGGGTAACGCCACGTTATTCATTGCAGGAGTCAGGGGGGAGCAAGCTCCATGCGCGCTCCGCTCCTGGCCCACAGGTTCCCCAAATACAACGCGCGCGGTGACGGCTTTATGAAAATAGTCTATTGATGTCGCGGACCATTCCCTTCGTAGCACCAGACATGCACTACGCGCATGTTCTTATTTGCCGTTCAGCCTCAGGCAGTATAGTCGGCATTCCAGGATGTAACGTGTCGCTTGTGTTCTTGTGCACAGAAATTCCGGGAGCAGTCCATCGACGGGACGAGTCTGCCTCTGCTGACCGAGGACCACTTGACCGTCTACATGGGAATGCGCCTGGGACCCGCACTCAAGCTGAGGACGAGCCTGGCAAAGCTGACCGGGCGGTGCACGGTGTGCATGCACTGTATCCACTGCCACGGTGAAGACAACGACCGGAGGTCCACTTCGTCGGCGTCCTCGACACCCGCCACGGGCGGTTCGACGGGATGCGCTCCATTGCCGGCGTCCAGCACACCGCCAATGGTTCCACCGGCGGCGACACCACCTGCTACCGTCTCCGCCAGCTCACCGGCTACGAGCAAGTGAACCTTCTGGGCTCACCGTACAAGTGCTACGGCAACAGTGCGCGTGAACGTACCTTCTTCTGAAGATGTACTTCTGGAGATGTCCTCTTCGTGATGTCACCCGAGAGATGTCCCTTGGCTTGTCTTCAGGCGGAAAAGCAAACTCTTCAATCAGTGCTCAACAGTTAGAATGCAAGTCCTGCTTGGATTTCAGTGGACGCCTTGGAAAAAGGACGCCAACAAAGAAGAGGTCTGCATCGTCAAATCATACGAGGTGTTTCTGCGAGCGTCTCTTGTCGAAAGAGGGATGTGCAAGGATCATCGAGAACGGGAACTGATACTCTACAGTGTCGGCAGTGCGAATGAGTGACGGTGGTCGGCGATGACGTTAGAGGTACTTCGATGAAACTGTCTACAATTCCATGGACTTCGCACGACACCTGCGGACTGTCACAGTGTTGGTTCGCTCAACGCCTTTTTTATGTCGTGTTAGTCGTCGAGCCGCCAGACTTAAAACAGACTGTTTTGAAGAGGGCGGTGTCCCAACTCGACAATGGACAAACGAGGCGCTTAATTTATTGACGGTGTGAACGTGGTGGGATGAACTACCATGCTGCTGGACGTCCCAGAATCTTCCGTAGCGGACAAGATGTGGCAGACGTCAAACGGCCTTTTGTTGTCGATTCTTTTGTCTTGATTTGTATATGCGGTACGTTCTGTCGGCCGTCAAGCTGTCACTCTCCTTTAGCAACGATGATGATGGCGAGGGCTGGCGTCCGCGACAAGCGAAGAAGTGATCGAACGACATCAAACAGTAAAACGTAATTAACACGTGATGGGGAGCCGTGGTTAATATACGGGGACGATGTCGGATGATCGGTGGCGTGCAGTGAGCGCGCATGACTAGGTCGTTTGCGTCGAGTCAAGAGTTGAGAAAGCACATCGTCATCTCTTTTCTCCGTTTCTCATTGTCCCACTGGACCCCTGTCGAACTTTTCAAACGACCACAACGCGATGGAAAACCGTTTCGACAGTGGTCCGGAGGGAAAACTCTAGTTTGGCATTTACAGCCTCAAATGCCGTTTCACTTTCTAGTGGGCGCCAGAGGTGCGTCCACCCGAAGCCCAGTGAATGTTGCGGGCGAAAACGCGACCTCGGATATTTTCACCCCATTCCAGATGTACTTGTCGTTCGGTTTTTCCAAGCTACTTCAAGTTTGTTCGTTTCTGAGTCAGTGAAGTATTGATTTGAGTTTCGTTTTCTTTTCTTTCTTTACGAGTGAAACAAAAGTACTCGGCTCCGAACTGTTCCAAATGTGCACGACATTGTAACAAGCAATCGATTCCTTTTATTTCCTTCGGGTTTTCTTTTCTCTTTTGTGTGTGTGCGTGTGCATGTGTGCGATTGTGCGTGTGTGTATGCGCATGCGTGTATGCGCGTGCGTGAGAGCGTCACTCATGGTGGTTGACTCGTTTGTTGTTATTTTTTTCGCCTGTGGTCGGACTCCGAATGTTTCGGGTCTGCTTTTCGCTTGGGTGTTTTTCTTTATTTGGTTCAAATATTTTTGTACGTAGTCTACAAATAGCTCTGGTATTGTCTTTTTTTTCAAGTTTGCTCTCTCGTAGGGTTGTTACATTTCTTCCATTTCTGTGTGATCTTTCCGCGTTTGGTGATCTCATTCTAGTCGTACCCAATGACGAAATGGAAAGAAAAACAATGTCCCTCAAATATAACTATGACGCTTCGTGAACGAAGCCACAAAGACAAAGTGGGCCTTCATGCTCTTGAGCACTGGCCAAATCCGAACATCCGGCGTGCTAACCACACTCTGTAGCCGGCGTCACGTGATGTGAGCAGTCGCATCTGATTGGTGGTCAAACGTGTCTTCTACTACGTCACGGGACTCACCAAGTGAACCAACTGCCAATCAAAATGGGACTGCTTGCATCTCGTACCACGGGGCGCAAGATCACACTGTCTTTGTTGGTTTCGATACGTCTGTTGAATATATCGTTATGCTCGAGCATTTCCGCGGTACATAATTAAACCCCATCTTGTAATTAAAAAAAAAAAAGAAAGAAAAGGCAGACGACAAAATAAAGGAAGTTTGATTCAACTACTGAGAACGGCAAACAGCCGCAGCATTCAGGAGTTGGTTATGCGGATGTGGATATTATCTTGCTCACCTGAACGAGGAGCGTAGAACCGCTAGACGGAGTCTTTATATAACGCGACACGATAAATGGCTATACATACGAACGATGGCAGAAAGCCCCCGAGTAATATATATTTATTTTATATCCGTATTCTCGTCGATTCGTTGGCGCAGTCTTGTCGTTTCTCGAGGGACGAGACAAGGCGAGAAGCTGCGGCGGTCGGGTGATATAAACGTTACAAAGCGGTATTCCGCACGTTACGGAGAGGATGATTGAGTATGCATAGTATTTTGATTTTTTTTGTGTTTTTGTTTCGCGCGGTGTGTTTTTCCCTTTTATTCATTGTTTTAGTTTCTTCGTTTTGACTGTGTAAAAATCTGTCGAATGTTTAAAAAATGTATGTAGGGTATTTGTTATTTTGACGTTGAACTGATCTTCCAGACGTTTGGTTCTTACGTTCTACTCGTGGAAACAACAAACACTTAAATATGGCAGCGGTGCAGCGAGCGTCGTTACTTGAATAAAACAAACAACAAAACAATTAGTTTTCCAGCGCCCTGAACAGAGTATGATCACTCTCTAGTTTTCTGGTCTGGAAAAAGAAAAACATCATTAATGATAATGATTTGTAGGCTCTAGATGTATTCATGGTTTATTTCACAGTTTGCAAGATTTTCACACGCTTTATTCGGGACAAAAACTATTCCAGATATAAATTTACAGGGACATTTCAATAACATAGTTATCAATCATATCTGGGATATAGAACCAAAAAAGAAAAGAAACCCACGTTTCTTATAATATCATACAGGAAAAGAGAAGTTCCCAAGGAACGTTTAAGAAAAAATAACAAAAAAATATATATTTGCGGTGTGTTTTTGCAGTTACTTTTTCGACAATCACTACCGACAGCGCGCGACCCAACTCAGAAATACGACGGAACTCCGGGGGCAGCGGCGAACGACACCAGTGGCCGAATCCCGTGTCTGTATTAACGTCATTCTCCTGAAACAAATCTGCTCCTAGCACCGCAGTATTCACTCGTCGTGTGTTTTTTTGGTTTTGAGTGTATGACGCCGCCATCTTGTTGTACTATGTTTTCTTTTTTTTTCTTGCGTGAATACGGCGACCTGAGTTTGGTGCGTGTGTGTTCTTTCTCTATCCATCGCGGCAATATGTCCACAAGGCCTCCCTGGTTTTCCTCGAAACAAACGCAAGTGAAACATGAAAGAGAGAGAGAGAGAGAAAGAGAAAAATGTGAAGTTTAATATATTGAGTACCTCTATTTAAGAATACCAGGACGGTAGGTTTCGTTTGCGGACTCTGTACATACCGATGTATATGGGATGTAAAATCAAGATGCAAAATATAAAGCGTCGTCTACCCGTGAGTTTTGTGCCTGTCCTTACTTTCTGAAGCTGCGGCCACACTCCTGATGCGCCATAAAAAACAGAGTCAGCATCTGTAGTTCCTTCCTAGCATGGTGGTCCTGACACAGAAGCGCAGACGCCCATTCTCCCTTTTTCACTTCCTGGAAGTCAAGGATATGCAGGTACAGTCGGCCGCAAAATTTTGCGGGACGTGGGAGCGCCAGCCAAACTGCCTTGCCGCGCCGTCTCGTGGCCTGCTGCCTGGTGTCAAGACCAGCGCATTGCGCATGCGCGGCCTTTCATACTAGGAGGATTGTCCTGTTCACTGGCTTTCGTCCGACGCGCTCTCGATTACTGCGACCGGCGCAAGATGCCGCTTCGCAACCGCTGTGCAGCGAGTCTGCTTCAGCCGGCGCGACGGGCAGCCAAGCTCGCTTGAACCCTCTTCGCGTCGCGGTGCACTTTCTAAGGGCCCTAAACTCGTCAAACACAAAGTATGAGCCGAAAGTTCGCGGAGCGCGCCCATTGGACGTCGGCGCAAAAAGCGCGAAGTCATTGTCGTGATGAGCCCATCGGTGCGCTCCGTCAACTTCGGCCCCAACTTTGTGCATGACGAGTTTAGAAGCCCAGATAACATTTCGCTGGAATGCTACCGTAGGTAGCATATACAGGAACTCTATGCATAGCGGTTGCGAAGCGGCACCTTGCGCCGGTCGCAGTAATCGGGAGCGCGTCGGACGGAAGCCAGGGAACAGGACAAGCCTCCTAGTATGAAAGACCGCGCATGCGCAATGCGCGGGTCTTGACACCAGGCAGCGGGCCACGAGACGGCGCGGCAATGCAGTTTGGCTGGCGCTCCCATGTCCCGCAAAATTTTGCGGCCGACTGTACGTCTGTGTTGTTTATTTTCATTACTGCCTGCATATGAGACACAGTTCCGCAAATATATTAATCAGCAACGGCCCAGCCCTTCTTTTGATTCGTTCGCCGACATCCGTGAAAGATGAGGCTTCGGTAGGAATAAGGAGGTCGAACAACCGGCGACGGAAGGGCTAACGAACCCCGGAAAGAAACGACAGAACAATTCAATGCCCTTTTTCTGACGCCGAGGTCGGCGAAAAAAGGCTCAAGGTACACCTAAGCACTTCTTATGAGCTGTGAATGCGAAAGCATGGATGTCCTTGCGCGTGTCCTCGTGAAGTTGCCGCGCCTCGCTAGCATTGACCTTACCGCCGCGTAATCGGCTGCAGGAATCGGCTGCTGGCTCGGTAGGGATGCGGGGAAACATGGCGGTGCCCCGGTGAGTGAGCGCCGCTCGCTTTGAAACCAATATGTCGTAGCTGCAATATCGGGCGCGTTAGTCAGCAACGAATGGCGCAGGAGGCTTTTGCTTTGCCTTACCTCACTTAAATCGCAAAGCATGAGCAATGACCTCGCCGAATTTTTTAGATAGTCTTTCGATTCCGGCCATTCCTAAGCCTAAATGAACGCGATAATTGTCGGCATGACAATGTCTTTGCAAAGTGGACTGCCTTGACTCAATCGGCCGGGTATTGATAGCACACAAAAGCAGACAGCGTCCCAATAGACCTTTTACTAAATTTCGCAAGCACCGAGGTGAATGCTACAAGTGTAGTTACACGCGTTGCACGTGCTGGCGTCTGCAGTAGTAATTGTTCTAACGCAAAAAAGTCTAAAACAAATTTTGCCTTGCATGCGCGTTCGTCAAAGCCTTATTATGATTATTTGCATCAAATTTTTATAAGAGGAAGGCCAGCGCAAGCGGACCGTAGAATTACACTTCCAGCGTTCTCCTTGATGCTTGGGTAATTTAGAAAAGGGTCTATCGGGACGCTGTCTGCTTTTGTGTGCTATCAATACCCGGCCGATTTAGTCACGGCAATCCACTTTCCAAAGACGTTGTCATGCCGACAATTATCGCGTTCATTTAGGCTTAGGAATGGCCAGAATCGAAAAACTATCTAAAAAATGCGGCGAGGTCATTGCTCATGCGTTGCGATTTAAGTGAGGTAAGACAAAGCGAAAGCCTCCTGCACCATTCATTGCTGATTAACGCGCCCGATATTGCAGCTACAACGACATACTAGTTCCCAAGCGAGCGGCGCTCTCTCACTGGAGCACCGCCATGTTTCCCCGCAACCCTACCGATCCAGTCACGTGATTTTAAAAAGTCCCTCTCCCAGGTACTGCGGCTAACTTTAGCCGCGGTTAGCGCTTCGAGCAAACGGGCCCTGAAATGTCATTTGATTGGCTATGGAGGCCCCTAGCCTTCTACTGCAAATCAACACAAGGCGAAACGTAGTACTTTGCTTAAAAAACGCTGGAGTGTGTTACAGGTTGTCTGCACCAGTAGCATACATCTTGTGTTCGATTGTGAGACAGGTGACACGTCATTTTCGGGCAGACAGATAAGCTTTTATTTGTACAAACTTCACAGACCACAATAATCGCTAGTTTTCATTACAAGCCCAGTTGTCCATGACGGCATGGGACCTGTTTTGCAACTGGGGCTGTCTCTTGCTTATTTAGGACTGCAACTGCAGTTCCGACAGGAACAAGAAAATTTGGAATCGCTGAAACTTGGCGCTACTTGGCGGCAATAGTTCTTTAGGCCTTGCATAACGAATAATAAACATACAAATAAGTACCGTTATATAAAGAGAAATGACACCTGCATGACGCCAGACCACAAAGTTCTCTCCACTTGCGTGACAGCCCTCTCATAAAACTGGGCAAGAATCTCAGCACGCGGCACCTTGTGAAATGGCGGTACGGTTTAATTGGGTCCATTTTGTTGTTTACATGAAGCAGTATTGCACTTGTGCAAACAAACATCTTGCTTGTTTTCAAACCTCTTTCTTGTTTTGAAACATCTTGTGGATCTGTAGTTTCCCTAAAAGACAAGGAAACAAATTAGCAAAATTACCTCAATTCAGCTGGCCTAAAGGGTTACCAACAGAGCATTTTTACAGGAACAGAATTACAAGGGTTTAGCCACAGGAAAAAAAAATATTTCCGGGTCTTGAATTCCGACTTATTCCTGCTCAAAAACCACAAAACAAGAATTGGGTCGTTATGTATGCCCTCACTTTTCTTACTGAATATACCAAATATTTATTAAGTAGTCTTCCGTCTAAGGCACATATTTTCAATGAAGAGCGGCGGAATCTTCGAAAAGGCGATTTTTGTGACAACTAATGGAGAACAAACTAGTTCCTCCATAGAAAATTTGAGGACTACGCAGAATCACTCCCCACAGTTGCGGAAAGGAACCCCCCCCCCCCCCCCCCCCCCCTTCACGACGAGGAAGAGTGACTCCCGGCAACTCCGGTGGAGTGTCGAAATGCTGGTACTTGAACTCCGGTTGTGCATTTCCATTTTTTTTTCAGCCAACGTGTACATGTTGTACAGCAGCAGCAAAAAAAAAAAAAAAAAAAAAAAAGGAGACACCGAGACACCATGTTTTGGCTTGCCGCTTAAAAAATGGAATACTATTTTTGTGGGGTGGAAGTTGTTGAATTATTCGAATCGCATACAGAGTGATGTTTTTGACATCGGTAGAGCAATGGCCTGGTGCTGTCTGATGGTGAAAAGAACATAAAAGAAAAACAGAAGTGATAAGGAAGTACAAAATCATTGTAACACTTCCAGCGAGACAGAAATAGTTTCACAAGTTTTAAGCGACAATGAATTGAGCACTAACATATAGGCTTACACAATGTACACTTTATCAGTCCTCTCCTTGGCGTGGCGCAACTACGACCGTGTAGTATTTTTGACGTCCTTTAGGGTAACTGTCTTCGCTTCGCTTGGTTTGGTTTGAGTAAGCTAAGCTGCAAAGTAGACGAGGATTGTAAAGATTACCACAAAAAGCACTTTCCCAAATCTGTATGCATATATGTGTTCACAAAGTCCGATGGATGCTTGTGATATGCGAAGCAAACAGATAACTGATTTTTATACAGGTGTTTTAATTACTCGGCAGATTAAGAAGTCATACCACAATATATAAAATTTGAGCTATGTCATTAGGATTCGTTGAAGCTATATATTTTCTGAACCTATTTGTCTCTCACTTTCTTACCTTCTCTACTTGGTTTCTCACTGAAAACCAATGTCTAAAATGTACGAGTAAAAATGTTTAATCAAAAATATAAAAAGAGAGCGCGCAGAAATCACGTCAATTAGGTCACTACCATTTTCCTGCTTTGCAGGAGAACTTTCCGATTGTGAGAACTTTAAAAAAAAGTTTTATGTGTAGTTAGAACCGTAAAAACTGCGTCTTAGTGCATGTAGGCAGCCTATGGAGGTTTCCTGTCACAAGTAATATAATGTTTTATAAATATTTCTGCCATAGGGCCGCTATAACATAAACGTATGTTGTGGAGTGTCATCAAAAATTTCTGGATCCGATACATACCGCACATCACCTTATAAAACTGTAGTGTGGAGAACGCCCTCTTCTTCTTGGTGCCATACCACGTAAAAGCCGCCCCCACCTCGTGGCTCAGCATCTTGTGGAGAATCCGGCAATTGTTCTCCCTGGGGGTATCACCCCCAATTGTTTGCATGTACCTCTTCTGAAATAAAGCACTATCAGAGATGCCAGACGTCAGCTTAAACTTCGCTTTTCAATTCTGAAAACCCATTAAGCACTGAAAGAACTTGTTACGACAATATGAGCAATTCACTCGAAGACATAAGTACACATTGATTTCAAAAGCAGCCTTCTATGCTCATGCAAGGCAACGCACGAGCATAGAATCACTAACAAATTGGCTTCAAACCAAGAGCATGAGCACTTACTTTGTCTCAAAATGGTTTCCCCATATAGAGACTTATGACACTGAACAAGTGTGCTTTCATTTTCGCACATGTGATAGCCAGAACTGGACAATTTTTTAAGTGCAATACCTTCCATATGCACCATAAATAGCAAGACAAAATGACTAAAATAGCTATAATATCTCGTTATTGAGTTACAAAAAAATACCAAAAA